TTACCTATGGATCCCAGCCTTGGTTTAACTGTACACAAAACCCTGACAGCAGCTTGTTTCTGTCGGGCACAGAACTTGGGTAAACACAAACCCGAGGTTTTTTCAGTATTTAGGGCTTTTAGGATTAGATTAGATTATTTGTTATTAGTTAGATTATTAGCTAGGTGGTTATTTTTTATTATTTATTATTATTATTATTATTATTATTATTATTATTATTATTATTATTATTAAATATTTGTTATTAGATTATTAGTTTAGTATTAGTATTTTTTACCTAAGAATCGCAGCCTTGACTTAACTTTACACAAAACCCTGACAGGAGGTTGTTTCTGTTGGGCACAGAACTTGGGTAAACACAAACTGTTTTTTAACAAAACTGGTGTTTTTTAACCAAAAACCCTGTTTTGGTGCTGGGGAGGGGTCACAGCGGTGTTTTTTTAACACAAAACCCTGTTTTGGTGCTGGGGAGGGGTTTTTTTAACACAAATCCTGTTTTGGTGCTGGGGAGGGGTCGCAGCGGTGTTTTTTTAACCAAAAACCCTGTTTTGGTGCTGGGGATGGTTTTTTTTTAACCCAAAACCCTGTTTTGGTGCTGGGCAGAGTTTTTTTTAACGCAAAAACCCTGTTTTGGTGCTGGGCAGAGGTCACAACGGTGTTTTTTTAACCAAAACCCTGTTTTGGTGCTGGGAAGGGTTTTTTTTAACCAAAAAAAAGCCCTGTTTTGGTGCTGGGGAGGGGTCACAGCGGTGTTTTTTTAACACAAATCCTGTTTTGATGCTGGGGAGGGTTTTTTTAACCCAAAACCCTCTTTTGGTGCCGGGCAGGGGTCACAGCGGTGTTTTTTAACCCAAAAGCCTGTTTTGGTGCTGGGGAGGGTTTTTTTTAACCAAAAACCCTGTTTTGATGATGGGGAGGGTTTTTTTTAACCCAAACCCCTGTTTTGGTGCCAGGCAGAGGTCTCGGTGGTGTTTTTTAACCCAAACCCCTGTTTTGGTGCCGGGCAGAGGTCTCGGCGGTGTTTTTTAACCAGAAACCCTGTTTTGATGCTGGGGATGGTGTTTTTTAACCCAAACCCCTGTTTTGGTGCCGGGCAGAGGTCACAGCGGTGTTTTTTAACCCAAAACCCTGTTTTGGTGCCGGGCAGAGGTCTCGGCGGTGTTTGCCCCCTTCCCCGCGAGCCCATCCCGTGCGGAATTGCGGAAATTTCCGTAATTCCCCAATTCCCTGGTTCCTGTGTGTCCGGTTCCCAGGTGGCGGGGCGCAAGGGGTTCCCCCACGTCATCTACGCCCGTCTGTGGCGCTGGCCCGACCTGCACAAGAACGAGCTGAAGCACGTCAAGTACTGCCAGTACGCCTTCGACCTCAAGTGCGACAGTGTCTGCGTCAACCCTTACCACTACGAGCGCGTGGTGTCACCCGGCATCGGTGAGCGCAGCCCCGGCTGGGAGCGGGACACCTGTCCGGCTGTGGGAACCGCAGGACCCTTCAATT